GTGTGTGTGTGTGTGTGTGTGTGTGATGCTGGTGGTGGTGGTGGTGGTGTTGGGGGGGGCGGTGTTTTCTGCCAGCATCGCTCTTCAAAACCTGCGTCTCTCCCCCTGTCACCCCCTCCTCTCCCCACCAGGTCGCTTCACAGACCTCCCCTCCAACATGACGGTGAAAGAGGGTCAGAACATCGAGATGGCCTGCGCCTTCCAGAGTCGGACCGCCTCTGTCTACTTGGAGATCCAGTGGTGGTTCGTGAAGGCTCCGGAGCCGTCAGACAGCCAGGAGGAGAACGTGGAGGACCAGGAGGTACTGGTGCTTTGGTCTGGGCTCGCCCCTCCCCCTCCCTTGAAGGACTCATAAGTCTGAGCAAAACTTTGGCCCACAAGGTTCACAGGTGGTTCTGGTTCGAGGTTTCATGGAAACATTCAGCTTTAGTTGGTCCTATCAGGGGGAACTCGCTGGTTCCTTCTGGTTCTCCCTGGTTCCTGATGGTTCTGCTCAGAGAATACATGATAAATGACACCAAAGCCATCCTGACACTCCACCTCCTAAACAGAACCTTGGTGATGTTTGTCTTGCTGCTGCTCTTCTTAATCCTAGTTAATGTCCTAATCTGGGTTTTATCAGACCGACATCAGAGCCTTTTGGCTGTTCTCATGTCAAAGAGACATGTGTGTTAGTGTGTGTATGTGTATAATGTCCATGTGGCTTTAATTATTGTTCCACTGTTGGCCTGCTCTCCAAGTGGCCAGAGCGCCTGCTTTGATGTGGTTTGATCCCTTGTGACTCCAGGATGTTGGGTTTAGATGGCCTATTCATACAGACGTCACATTGTTGTCCAGGTTTCTTATCTGAAGAGGCTGTATTTGTTCTGCAGTGTTGCAGCTTCAATAGTGGACGGAGGGAGTGAGGGCTCTGTGTGTGTTCTTGTATTTGACCATTTATGGTATACCCACCTACCATGTCAAGATTGGTAGTCCTTATGGGGACCAAAGACTGGTCCTAATATGACAGAACTCCATTTTTTGGGTTGGAGGGTTTAAGACTAAGGTGGGAATTAAGTTTAGGCAAGGTTTAAGTTTAATTATGAATTAGGGAGTTAGGTTATAAGTAGTGGTCAGGGGATAGGCTGTAGAAATGACTGGAAATGAATTGAGGACACTTAGCGGTCCTAATAAAGTGAGAAATACAATCTTGTGTGTGTGTGTGTGTGTGTGTGTGTGTGTGTGTGTG